TCCTTTAATTTTGTGAAGCTGTCTTGTTTGGTTGATAAGCAAAATCATCTGATCAAGGACTGCGTGTCCGTAGATTCTCGCATTTTCCAAATCTCTAGCATATGAAAAGTGAACCATACGCCCGGAGAAAAACGTCAATATTAACCTTGTATTCCAGAATCTTCTCTCGTTCCGTGTACCTTCTTATGCTGCTAGCATTTATAGAATCTATTACTAAGCATTTGATCATCGTGGAAGACTCTCAAAAACCTGCTAACGAGTTCTGTTTAGCTTTGCAAATTTTCCAGCTTTACTTTCGATTAGCCGTCTCTGCCAATGAATTCCTGAGAGTTGGAAATTCTTCAACTTGGTTCAATGATTCATAAACAAGTGCTCTTGAACACGAAAACTCGTCCTCGTCTCAGTGACCGCCACCCTATAGCCATCTTTAGCGAGCGTTTTCGATCCTTGTCGATGCCGCTTTCTAAGCAGATCATAAGTGGTTCAATTATTTTCCTTTACATCTTTCTTTTTCTGCGATTTCATACCCTGAAATTTTCCTTTCCTTCTGGCGGAATCTTGCCTCTTTCTTCCAGACTACCCCCTCTCTTTCCCGAATATCCGGCGATAGCGACAGTCTCTATTTATTTACACTTACACACATTCACTTGACCGAATTTTTGAAACAACATACAGCCGCACGGCTACCGGACATTACCCTGGTGGCTCACGTTTATGTCCGTTCCCTTCGTGATGTCCTTCGAACTCCCCCCCCCCTTGTTTACGGAACCTCTGTCCCCCCCCTCCGTTACATCCGTACATGTGTCATTCACTAATCAAACAAACTCTCATCACGCTCCCACAACGATTAAAAGTGCATACAGCCTTTTCAACAAGAACATCAACATGAATCCTGGATCATCCTCATTTTATCCTCATTTCTGACGGCTCTATTTTTTCGGCTATTTTTTGTGACGGTCTTGACGGTCAAACTATTTTTTGTGGCGATCTGCGGCCATAGCCAATCAATCATATTCAATTTTTTTTTTGACTTGCGTTGTGACTTGACCGAGAAATTTTCACTCATGCGAACTCTCGATTTGAAGTCTAAACTCGTTAGTTACAATCAGCTACTTACTCTGTCTTCCTTTTTATTATTTCTTTCGTTTTTAGATGAAGCTCTCATTCAATGCATAGTTAGTAAGTGTAGCACTTTTTGGTATATGTGCAATTGCACAAAATTTGTTTGGGTACCCTTGTAATTGATACCAAGCTTTCTCAAACTTTGTGAATGACTTGTACCTCTTCTCCGCGTTTCTTTTCGAGAGCATCGTTGCCTACCCATACCAAATCTGAGCCCGTATTTGAATTTTTTCACACAAATTGTTCGTTTATTGAGCAAATCTTACCAAAACCCCATTTTTGTTTTGAACAGCGTCGTCGTATTCAGTTTTTTGCAGATTTGTTCTTCTTCCGTCGATCTTTTCCTGCCTACAGCTATGAGCAGTAACTGATAACAAATTGCTTATATATTTGAGTAGAGCTCCTGACAAATGTATCTCCTCCAAGTTTTTGCTTGTAATCTTATCTAGCAATATGTGTTTCCTGCATATCTTATTGTTATTTTGGTAAATTAGATAACTCTCAATGATAGCCACCAAAATATTTTCTTTGGCTTTCTCATCTCGATTTGATAGGTACGCGTATGTGACGAACTCTCAAGTGCTTGTATGACGCTCGCCCACGAAAGCTTCACGGACCCAATCCACTCTAGATGCCCTTGAGCTTTTTTATAAATTACACATCATTTCACATCAAAGAGACTGCTTTGACTTTGCAAAGGCGAGAAGATGTGGTCATGTTGATTACCGTCGGCAGTAAATTGAAGCAAAGAAAGGAGATCACATCTTTTCGGAATCATGTGCATCATCTGGTTCTCGCAAGCTGGAAATCTTTGCTAAGCACCTGAAAGGTTCAAATGGTCTTCCACTGAAGATTTTGAACAAATTTTCTATGTTCAATCAAAGTTTTTTTTTGTATGAATGAAACTAACAATCCCTTTCAGCAAAGAGAGGGCACGCTAAGAACGTGCAGCGGGCGAGTACAAGAATCTAGATCTAGAGATACATATTTCGGGAAATACGTTTCGGTTTGTGGAGCACTAGCCTTGTTTTGCAAAATAGGATCTGAGCAAATCTCTTTGATTTTGGCTCTCTAATTACTTGGAAGTTTGAGAAATGTGAGCAAAGCTCAGGATATACATGATAATGTTCACAGCATCTTCTCTCGGAATAGATCTATCGATCACTGGTTTTGATTTCTCTTCTAATGATCAGATCTTAAAAATAGTATGCGAAAGTTGGAAGTAAAGTTCTGAAAGCAAAATACCTGCTTTGAGCTTAGAGTGCTAGTTCTTGACATTTGCGATTTTTCATTCGCGACTTCTCTTTGAACATCCGTCCAAACCCTAAGCATAATCAATATGTTCTTGAGCCCAATTTTGTTCATACGACGTTTGAGTTTTCCCTTTCTTTGTGTTATTTTTGTGTTTGTTTGTTCTTGTGAAAATCCTTGTCTCTTCGCAACAAAAATTTCTGTGAAACTTACACAAAATTTTATTTGATACATTGACACCGTGTTTATTCTAAGGTTTTGCTACTCACAGTTATATCCTTTCTTTCAAGAGCTTTGCTTTTATCTCTATTCTCAGGACCATGTAATTAGCAAGAGTCTTTTTGCAGGTTGTTAAGTGAATTAAATATAATTAAATATAAATATAATTTATATTATATTATATTATATTATATTTATTTATTTATTTATTTATTTTTTATTTATATTATATTTTTAAATATAATTTTTCTTTCCCAAACTGAACCAACCATTTTATTTGTGAGCAAGTGATTTTACTTTAACTGCTCCCTTCTCTGCTCTATTCGAAAAACTAGTATGTACCGGTTGACTAAATGAACTTGGAAACTCCTCTCGTTTTCGTCTAAAAAACCTTAGAATCTGGTGTATCACACTCCAAAAAAATAGTTGTTATCATGCGTAAAATTAACCGCTTAATTAATTGATGCTTTCTCTCATGCCGCTTCGTTTTTTCTTGAATCTGACAGATGACAAACATAGAAACATAGAAATTTATTAGCATTTGTAGGAGTGAAGTCAAATGAAGACTCTTCATCTATTGCAGGATAATAAAGATGGGTAAATAGGAGCCACTAATGCAAAAGTAGCGAGCGAGCGACTTTACCATACGCACCAAAGACGATCCAGTCAATAAAACTAATTCGAAAATCAGTTTCTTTACGATCATGTTCATACGAAAATTTTGTACAAGATTATTTTTGTTTTTCCCATTATGAGCCATATCCCGCTACTTATAGCCTTGGCTTACTAAAATGATGTGACATTAGTTGATCGTTTGAGCGCATGACCCTCAACGTCTACAGTCGCTCTTAACCTTTGTTATTGAGCATTGGGTAGTTATGAGTTTTATTTTTCCAAATCGCAATGCTTGCAATCGATTCGTGCAGTCTACTGAATGTATTTGCACGATTTTGATGCATCACTGTAGTACGGTGTATTATATTGGGTCAGCCCGTAGGTGCGTGGGCACTTCTTGGAAGGAAATCATGATTTTCTTGTACCTTGCTGGATTACCTCAAATTTGAAATGTTCTGATGAAACTGTGCAAAGCTTCCTGAGAGACGAGATGTTATGAACTTCTTTGAGAATATGCTCGAGAAGCTGCGGTAGAATCATATCCTTATGAAAGTCGTATTCTTACATAGTATCAACATAAGCCTACAAAAAAAACAGTAAAAGTCCTCAGCACATCTTATTCAGGCAAAAGCTATACATACGATCACGTCCGCTGTTCATTTTTATTCTGAAACAATCATAATCAGAGTCATATTCAAACTGGCTAAAAGAAAATACTAGTTTGGCTGGAACGTTCTTTTGAACCATAAACATTACCTCTTTGCATCTCAATGGTTTTGTTTGAAAGCAGAAATGAAAATTCCCAACTTCTTAGACTTTTGTAAAGTACATGCCTGTGATCTAATATGAAAGAAACAGCTTCGTAAAAATATCTACTTTCACTCAGGTATATCCCTGCGCCCTTCTAGTTTTTCTCGTGATCTTCTTCATTTTCTTTCAGTTTTCATTGCTTATACTTATTCACGTTGAGGAGTTGGAGCATTGCTACATTTCCTAGCGAAATATTATAAAATCTGCTCTACCTTTTCATGATCCCCCATTTCTATACGTTTCTTTTTTTTGCGCCTCCAATGTCCTACAACTTGGATATCTCACAGACTATCAATGTAAGCACTTCAGATGAGATACAAGTACATGTAACCAGTTTAATATCGTAATGTCTTCACAGCATCTCTTCCCACATATCCAAGTAGCACTGGAAGTCCGATCTTCACGAAAAATCCAGATCTTCTCATCTCCATTGCTTCTTTCATAGCTATCACTACACTATGTATATAATGTCCCTATGAGACATCCGCTAGGGCTTGTTGGGGCCCGGTGTGGAGATTTCCCTACCTCACTGGTCGTAACCTCAATACGGGTGTTTTTGTTGAAATTTGCATAAACTCGGGGCACCGTTCGGCCTTCATTGGTCTGAGAAGATAGTTTGTCGACGGCAGTTAGTTCTGGATTTCTTCTACTTTGGAACGTTTATGTGTCAACTGTCATTCTTTGGGAGAATTTGGGAGGGGGTCCTAGCGAAGAGGAGGGGGGGGGTTGATTTTACTCTTGTTTTGACCTATATTTTTACGTCGTTCTTACAAATGAAAGCTATAAGTAGGTTACTATTACAATTTGTAGGTTTTATGAGACGGGTAGTAGCAAGATTTTCCCTCCCCCATTCATTCGTTGAAATGTCAATTCTCCTCTGCGATCGGGTCATTAAAACCATTACTCTTCGAAGTTTATTCATTCTTACTCGCTAACCTTCGTACTCATTTCCCTACTTCCTCAAGCAAATTATTTTACGATTTTTTTCAGGTAGAAAACGAAATATCCTTCAGCGAAAATGGTTTTATGAAAGTAAAATGCACGAGTTTCGATCCTTTCTAGTTGCCGTGCTGATTTGCTGGACAAACACTGAGGTATACTTTCCTTTTGTCTTTTCTTTATTTGTTGAGTTTTCTTTTTCTCCGTCACGATCCAGAAACAAAAAGCCTTTCCAGCGAATACGGAACAGAAATAAGGAAGATCAAGTGATTCCGCTCACGCCAAATACCTTGAACCAAGCTACGTTTCTAAAATACCAACGTATTCCATTGAGACGATTACCTACAAGACAAGAGCGACGGAAATATACGGGTAAGGTTCATGTCATTGATGGACCTCTTCTAACTCCATTAGATGATTTTCATGGGGTGTAATACATGAACTGAAAGACGCCCTCTATCTACGTAATGACTGCAATCACGAATACGCAGAAAAATCGAGAGCTGCAAATTCCAATTACAATTCCTGAATTCCAAATTCCATTACAATTCCTGAAAAGCTTTTTACAATGTCAAAACCCCTAAAATTAACTTCTGAAGGCAGTTACACCAATTCAAAGTGAAAGTTTGTTGCTTTGATAAACAAGCTTTTCATGTTGTCCAGTGCTGATAGATATTTCCTTATTTTCGCAGTGTGGGTGTTGAAACCGACCGAACAACAACTTAGTACAAAAGAGGGGTCCACTTAATGCGAATCTTATGATCTCGGTATCTGATGGCATTTATGAATACATTGTCTCAAAGAAGCCGTTTTAAACCACAGGTCTCGGCAAATGATTTAATGACTCTCTCAACTCATCGTCTCCTACTGCATAATGCTAATTCAGAACTTCAAAACTGAAATTTTGATAAAGCGGTTTCCGACTCTTGTGTACCTAACTACGAAAGCTACACCGAAAAGAAACAGACTGTTCGGTTAACTTAATATATAGCATAAGTTCTAGAAAGCCATCAAAGGTACTGATGAGTCAGAACATTGCGCGTTCTCATAACAAAAGCTTTTCGGTTGTTAAGTAGGTTCTGATGTGACGACCAAATCACATTAACGATTTTGTTTCTTACAGGAGCTCCGGTTTTGATTTGCGGTGAAGGTAGTATGGGTATTTTGGTAAATTATCCATTCAATGGACGTATTTTCGCGAGCCATCGAGAAAATGACAAGGAATGTGTGGAGTATATCACGATAGTGGGTTCTATCCGTATGAAAGCACAATAATGAGAATCTCGAAAATTTTCTTTAGAACACCATCCCCAAGTTTATGACACCACTCGAAGGTAACTGTGGTATCTGGAGCAGAAAGGTGAATAATTAGCTATATTATACCAGAAGATAGTCGTTTTGCATAGCATAGCCGCCTTACTGTAGCGGACGAGTTGTTCGCACTCTCTTTGTGTCTCTGACGGCATTCTTGCGTGTCAACTCGTCCGCTTATCCTGCGGTGTTTTTTGAATCCCGCAGCGAACTACCCTACGGTAATATAATAATGGCAGTGGAAAAAGGCTACATCCGACTAAATATTCAAAATCATTTTTTAGAGTTTACAACCGTCAAGCACAGATTTTCACCTTCGAGTTGTAGTGTCGTTTCATTACGAGCACCTAACCGAAGAAGACAGAATTTACGACTTGACTTGCTCATATTCGTCGAAAAATATCTCAGTTGGAGCCTACTATGATACTGTGTGGGTTACTTTTCTTATTGATTTTCATGATGTTTTCGTACCTAAACGAAGCTGCCAATGCTTACTTATTGTCGCTGGTCATGTAACATCATGTAATATCAACAAATGTCAATCGATTTGAAAAAAGAAGGCGAAAATGAGTTGCGTCGCTGTTTTTTGTACCAGATCGCCGCATCGCGACCGCACGCCTCTCCAAACAAGGGCGTTCGGAATCTGCATAGAATAACCTTTTGCTCTGGCTATGCTAGTCTCTTAGAGCGTAAGTAGGCGATATTTACAAAAGAGAGCAAAGAAAATGTCGTTTGTAAATTCTACACGTTGCTGCGCGCGGTCGCGTAGCAATTTGGCGGGAAATGACGCACGCATGAATACTGCAATCCTATTTTTGAATGAAGGTTTTCGTCTACTAACAGTAGGTTCTACAAATGCTATGTGTGAAAAATTTCTGAGAGAGAAATATGTTTTGCAGAGATTTTGTAGCGCACCCACTACTGAATGCATCGCAACTACCTGTATGTCATTATTCACTTCGCAAAGACACATTGGACGGACCACGAACCACATCAGCAACGATCGGGCAATTGGTACTTATTTCATGCCATTTTGCAGACATTTCATTTGGTAACCTCTATCGAATGTCCATCCGCCGTCAAAGACTTTTGTTACACTGACAAGGTGTGCATCGAAATGATTGGCATACTCCATATAGAAGGAACGAGCGTATTTCAGCAGTGCACCCGTACTTTTGCACGGTTACCGTAATCTGAAAGTGACACGAACGTACAAAAATACCACTGCGCATATTCTACAGATACCCGAGGAAAATCTTTTTTCTTCAGGTGTATCATCGCTGGAGCTGCCCCTCAAATGACTATGCGTTCAAAGTGTATAGATGTTATGTACACAATGGATATCAGCAATCGTATTTGATAGTAAATGATCAAGGGTGAGTATATCTATGCACGTTGTTGCAAACATACATGTGCCAATCAAAGACCGGGCCCGCCCTCTGTAGCCAAGAATTTTGGGATCTCAAATTACGATAGGCTGCGAAATGGTGACGTTATATGTACACGAATTCAAAAATACATCCATGTTTAATGCTGAGGAGAACGCTCAAAGTTCCTCTGGTGCTAAGCAGCAATGCTTAAAGTTGCTTGGGTGGTGTACAGCCATATGATTTGAGGTTAGGCAACAACGTCACAGTTGTCCTGGTGCTGCGCAACAACAGAGTTGCTCTGACGCCATCCAAGAGCATCCAGAGGTGCTTCGATGTTGCACATCAAAATGGTTGTACTGTCAGGCAACAACATCGGGATTCTCCTGGTGCTGCGCAACAATACAGTTGCTCTGATGCCATGCAATAGCATCCAAAGGTGCTTTGGTGCTGCGAAACACTAAAGTTTTTACTGTCAGGCAGCTTAGAGTTGTCCTGATGGCCATGCAAGAGTATCCAAAGGTGCTTTGGTGCTGCGAAACCTGAAGTGGTTCTACTGTCAGACAGCAACATCGGGATTCTCCTGGTGCTGCGCAACAATACAGTTGCTCTGATGCCATGCAAGAGTATCCAAAGGTGCTTTGGTGCTGCGAAACACCAAAGTTGCTCTACTGTCAGGCAACAATATTAAGTTAATTTTGGTGCTGCGCGATGCTACAGTTGTTCTGATGCCATGCAAGAGCATCCAAAAGTGCTTTGGTGCTGCGAAACACTAAAGTTGTTCTTCTGTCAGGCAGCAACATTAGAGTTGTCTTGGTGCCCATTATACTTGGTAATTCGAAAATTTTTCATCGAATGAATGAATTTCGAATAAATTCGAAAAGGAAAAATTTCGAATAAACGAATATCGAATAAGAAAATAAAAAATCTCGAATGAATGAATTCCGAATAAATTCGGAAAATCAAAAATATCGGATGAATGAATATCGAATATATTCGACCATTGGAAGTCGAACTTCGAATAAATATTCGAATGATATCGAATAACCAGAGCAACCATATCTCAAAATGCCGACCTATCTGGCCAAAACCGATCCATTTAATTAGCACCCTCGTATCCCCTACACCAACTCCTAGCTCAAAATTTTCCAAAAATCGCTGAAATCGATAGAATAGATTTCGGTTTTAATCAGCATCCTCATTTATCCCCTGTACCAACTCCCAACCTCGTAGCTCAAGATTTTCCAAACATCGACAAAATCAATAAAGTAAATATTAATTCATAATCAGCGCCCTAACTTACCCCCTTGTACCAACTCCAAGCCCCATAGCTCAAACTTCTCCAAAAATCGATAAAATCGATAAGTAAGTTTTTATCCATAATCAGCACCCTCATTAACCCCTCTGTACCAACTCCCAACCTCGTAGCTCAAACTTCTCCAAAAATCGATAAAGTGTTCACCTAACGAGCTGTTCGGATTCATAGCGCTAGGTGTGCGAAATTTGAACCAGTAACGGTGGCCAGATATGTACTTAAACGCCACAAATGCTACGATACATTGCCTGTTCATCGGAGACTTTCGTCTCGTGTGGTATAAGCTAGTCGTGGACGAAGGCATGTGGTTTATTCCGCGAAGCGAGCACGAATGCCCCTATAACCGCGAGCACGAATGCCCCTATAACCCCGAGCATACTGCAGGCATTTCAGTGGCCACGTGGTTTGGCAATCGTCAAATTGTCCACAACTAATTTTAAAACTACAGAATGCAAGGCATTTATCTTTTTGGTGAGTTGTACACGCTGAACATTTGTGGTAAGCTGGCGTTACATTTGAAGACATCTCGTAACTGGCAAATCGCGTACGGCGATCTAAACCGTCTAGTCCTTCACTATAACTGCAATGTCCTTTACTCAAAATACACCAATTCGCAAAAAATATCTAAGGTAGCGAATAGAGGCAGTTGTGCAATTAACTTATGCAAGCAAGAGTGCGCACTAGTGTGGGCATTGCGTACCGCAAGCATGAGCAATGCAAAGAAAGAAGAACAAGCATTTCAAAACACTTTCAATATATGAACTTGGAACATGAGCTTGAATTTATAGCTTCTTTGCTGATTTGGTGCCAATAGCAGTGCGAACAATCACATTGATCGAAAAAGCACCGATTAAAATCCACATATGATTTTTTTACTGTCAAGCAATCGGAAGAATGCGACCATCCATACAGTTCAAAGGTCATAACGGTTGCAAAAGATGCATTACCGAGTTTTGCGAAAAAATAACGCGGACGAAGTGAGCTTGATACTCAGCACTTGGCTCTGTAACAAAGTCGAATAATCTGAATACGGAGTTCATTCGAATACGAGTTCGAATAAACATTCGAAAACATCCGAATAAAATCTATTCGAAATCTCGTTTTTTGATTATTCGAGTTTTCGAATTTTATTCGAAACCCCGTTTTTTGATTATTCGAGTTTCGAATTTTATTCGAAACCCCGTTTTCTCAATTATTCGAGTTTCGAATATTATTCGAAAATGGAAGCATTCCGAATATCGAATTTCGAATACGAATATATTCAAATGTTTTATTCGAATGATCGAATTTCTATTCGATTCGGACCGAAGTATAGTGCCCATGCAAGAGCATACAAAGTTGCTTGTTCTACTATCAGGCAGCAAGCAAGAGTTGTCCTGACTGATGCTGCGCAACAATAGAATTGCTCTGATGCCATGCAAGAACACCCAAGGGTGCCTTGATGACGCGAAACACTAAAGTTGTTCTGCTGTCAGGCAGCTAACTAGAGTTGTCCTGGTGCTGCGCAACAATAGAGTTGCTCTGATGCCATGCAAGAACATCCAAAAGTGCTTTGGTGCTGCCAAACCCTAAAGTTGTTCTACTGTCAGGCAGCAACATTAGAGTTGTTCTGGTGCTTCGCAACAATAGAGTTGCTCTGATGCCATGCAAGAGCATCCAAAGTTGCTTCGGTGCTGCCAAACACTAGAATTGTTCTACTGTCAGACAACAATATTAGAGTTGTCCTGGTGCTGCGCAACAATACAGTTGCTCTATTACTGCAAGAACGTAAGGTGCTTCGGTGCTGCGAAACAGTAAAATTGCTCTACAGTCGGGCAGCAACATTAGAGTTGTTCTGGTGCTGTGCAACAATAAGTTGCTCTAATGCTATGCAAGAACATCCAAAGGTGCACTAGTGCTGCGAAACACTAAAGTTGTTCTACTGTCAGACAACAATATTAGAGTTGTCCTGGTGCTGCGCAACAATACAGTTGCTCTATTACTGCAAGAACGTAAGGTGCTTCGGTGCTGCGAAACAGTAAAATTGCTCTACAGTCGGGCAGCAACATTAGAGTTGTTCTGGTGCTGTGCAACAATAAGTTGCTCTAATGCTATGCAAGAACATCCAAAGGTGCACTAGTGCTGCGAAACACTAAAGTTGTTCTACTGTCAGACAACAATATTAGAGTTGTCCTGGTGCTGCGCAACAATACAGTTGCTCTATTACTGCAAGAACGTAAGGTGCTTCGGTGCTGCGAAACAGTAAAATTGCTCTACAGTCGGGCAGCAACATTAGAGTTGTTCTGGTGCTGTGCAACAATAAGTTGCTCTAATGCTATGCAAGAACATCCAAAGGTGCACTAGTGCTGCGAAACACTAAAGTTGTTCTACTGTCAGACAACAATATTAGAGTTGTCCTGGTGCTGCGCAACAATACAGTTGCTCTATTACTGCAAGAACGTAAGGTGCTTCGGTGCTGCGAAACAGTAAAATTGCTCTACAGTCGGGCAGCAACATTAGAGTTGTTCTGGTGCTGTGCAACAATAAGTTGCTCTAATGCTATGCAAGAACATCCAAAGGTGCACTAGTGCTGCGAAACACTAAAGTTGTTCTACTGTCAGACAACAATATTAGAGTTGTCCTGGTGCTGCGCAACAATACAGTTGCTCTATTACTGCAAGAACGTAAGGTGCTTTCGGTGCTGCGAAACAGTAAAATTGCTCTACAGTCGGGCAGCAACATTAGAGTTGTTCTGGTGCTGTGCAACAATAAGTTGCTCTAATGCTATGCAAGAACATCCAAAGGTGCACTAGTGCTGCGAAACACTAAAGTTGTTCTACTGTCAGACAACAATATTAGAGTTGTCCTGGTGCTGCGCAACAATACAGTTGCTCTATTACTGCAAGAACGTAAGGTGCTTCGGTGCTGCGAAACAGTAAAATTGCTCTACAGTCGGGCAGCAACATTAGAGTTGTTCTGGTGCTGTGCAACAATAAGTTGCTCTAATGCTATGCAAGAACATCCAAAGGTGCACTAGTGCTGCCAAACACTAAAGTTGTTCTACTGTCAGACAACAATATTAGAGTTGTCCTGGTGCTGCGCAACAATACAGTTGCTCTGATGCCATGCAAGAGCATCCAAAGGTGCACTGGTGCGCGAAACACTAAAGTTGTTTTACTATTAGGCAACAACATCAGGATTCTCTTGGTGTCGCGCACAATGCACAAGTTTTGTGCAACTCATCGCATTGACTCTGCAGCCGCAGCAACCGCGTCAGTGAAATCGTTGGATTGGAGTCGTTAGTTTGTTTCTACGATTGCGACATAATTCAGTTGATGTCGTAAAGAAGAGTCTATTTTTTTGCTTCAACGAACTGCTGCTGCTGCTGCAGTCAGTGCAGTGAAGGCAGTTTTCGGCGCAGCGTAACCAATCTGCAAAGTATCAGTGACCGAAACTTCGCTTTTCCGTCTTTCTGGCGTCTTAGCGATAGGTATAAGGAGGTACGATTTGCTAACATCCTTCATTGTATAGCTGCCGTAATCCAACGCATATTCATCTCTAATTGTATGCCTCCCAATTATGCCAGGAAGCCCAACGGAGAAAAGTAGACATAATTAGATCAGAATGTTCGTTTATGTTCCCTCTCATTTTCTTACTTTTACCATTAAACCTTAAGCATTGCCCCTCTTATTTAAGCTTTCTTCTCCCCAAGGCCAAAGTCATAATTTATGATTTCGTGGCAGTCCGTTGTCCTCTTTTGACTTTATTTATGAGTGGGAATATGCTCGGTCAGCATGGGGGGCGCATGCGGCTCCGGATGTGCCTCATTGCGCTTGAATGCCCCTTGTCTGCGCGTCGTCTCGTCCACCTAATGGTTTATGTACTAATCTCGAATGATCCATCGTCAACTGCCTATGTGCACCTTTCCGGGTGTTTTTTCCTCTTTTTCCTCCCCTAATGTGTTCGTTGAGGTGTTCACTGGACGAGTCGATCCTGCCACATCCCACATATGATCTGCAAAAGGGTCTCGTCTACACGCCGTCGAAAGCATTCAGGTGAATATCTAAGGCTGGAAAAGTGAAAGAAAAGCGCTTGAACTCTGTTTAAAAATTGGCCAAAAGGTTGCGTATAAAAAACAGTACGCTTTTTCAGTAAAAATGGCGCTAAAACTTCACAATTGCTTTGATTCCCAGTATTTGACTTTCTACTATCTATCAAACTTATAGTAATTTTCTCTTTGAAGTTGGTCTGTAAATTTGAAGTATTCAGCCTAGAAAATAATAAAACATTGAGTACGATTTTTGAGGTAGCGCCATTCACAAAAATATCCTAAATCTCAGCCAAAGTTTTGAACACTAGAACCAAAATATCATTAACTAGAAGTCAAATCTTGGCAAGCCTTGATTCAGGAAGTCTCAAAATAATATTTAATATAGAAGGTATGTATCGAATATGTATCGAACGAACGTTTGGCCTCTAATGACTTTTCAGAAAAAAAAAGTCATCAATGGTCAAGCGTATGATACATTATCTCGGGACGCCTCGTATGTTTTTGCAAGATACCCTTTCAAGGAAGTGAATATTTGGTTGGGTTTTAGCTAATTTGTGTCATGAAATATTCATTATTAATCCCAAAAATTCCTGGATCAGAAAAACTCTTGTAATTTTCCAAACGAGACCATGAAATGGTCAAATTGATACTCTCCACTGGAGCGCGAAAGCGGAAACTTATTATCGAATTTTCCGAATTTTCAGATTTCACAGCGAAAATACTAAGCTGAAAGTTGCTTTTCCGTTTTGATGTTTGGCCCTTCCCGAATTTAACTTTTTGTAACTCAAATTTCTAGCACATTCAAACGCTAGCAAACGCCAATTTTCTCACACAAATCTTCCAGAATTGTGCAAGTATGCATTGAAAATAGCAATAATAGCTACATAATAGTGCACAAAATGTTCTATTGTGCAATACTTTTTTTAGAATATGGAGCCGAAAATGAGCTAATAAAACATCAACATAGTTTGCAGACTAACAATTCTTGATTTTCTTTAGCTCCACATAGCACTAATTGCAGATAAAAGTTTTGCAATTTAAAAGACGTGCAAAACAATTAGTCCGTTTCCATATTTGCTATCAGGGTCCTTAGAGCATTTTTGCAAAAGAGTACAGAACCTGGAGAGCCAGCCGACTGCGGTTTGAAATAATTTATCCAATAAGTGGTTGAAACTTTCGATAGTTTGCACAAGGAGTTACTTATGAAATCACGAAAATCATGAAACTTGCAACAAATACGTAAACATATTCGCAAGACTTTCTGTAATAAAAATAAGTGATTTTTACCGGCATCTCCCTAAGAGTCTTGCAGAATCCCCATTAGTCCTTCGAGTCGTGATGATGTCAATAGTTTATTTGTGGAACACTAAGAAGGTATCGACGAAAACAAGTAACAAAGCGAATGAGATAGTGATCTCAATGATCAAAGTTCTTTGCTACAAAAACTGAAACGAATCAGTTTGTACTACTGAAAATAATAGAGAGTGCACCCTTCAAATTTGCAAATGAGGAGAAAAGTTGTAAAGTGAAATTTGTAAGATATTCAGATTAACGCTAATCAAAGCGCGTTCTGTATTTTTTGCGTCAAATACATTTTTGCCATTGTGATCAAATAATTTAAATCAAATATGAGAAAATTTTAACACCAAATCCCCATCAGATAATTTGACGCATACCAGCTAAGTAGCAAATCAGCGGATCCAAAAAGCTGAAGAAGGACCGAACTACTTACTCAAAAAAACATTGACAGATTTCAACTTTTTCGACATTTTCATTCGATAGATTCATTCACATATCAAGCACTGTAAAAGTTATCAAGCAGGGCTATGTTCATAACTGGGCATGAACAAAAATAAAATTGCCTACTTTTTTGCTTTTTTCCTCGGACCATGTGACCTTTGTTCTTAGTTTTTTTCTGATTTATTCGTGCTTCCTATTGAGTGTACAATCTGAGAGAACTGAGTTATAGCAGTATAATAAAAAGAAAGATGAAAAAAGGCGTTTAAAAATCAAAAACCAAGGAATCTCGCTCTAACTCAGAAAAGTTCATTCGATAAAAAGTTATTGTGTGTAGGTGCTCTCATCTTGCAGCCTGATAAGGGAAAGGATTTTTACGAAATGCATGTTAGAATTACACTAATTCATTTTCTGTCTTTTCCATCTTATATTCTGCGAAAAGAAAAATGGGATTTCTTCCTATTTTTATCGTTTTCAGTTGTTTTTTGTGCAGCTAGAGTACCGTACTACTACAGTATCGCAGTGAATCCTTGAACTTCGATACCACCTTACCATCAGAGTATTTTCCTAGAAAAAAGCACTTTTTCCTTATAATCAACTCCCAACATCAAGGTTTGCTAGCAAAAGCGCAGTCTTTTTTTTTTTGTTCATAAACAGCAAAAGAATTTTCAAAGTGTGCATGTGCATGCTCTTCGAAAGTGCATTTTTTATGGAGAGCAAACAGGAGAGTTCTTTGTCGCTTTCTGTGGTTCAGGTTTTCCTGCAGAACATGCAATTTGGTCCAATCTAAGAGAATTTGCCCTTTCTCAGGTTTACAAAATCTCGACGAGTTCACTTCAATTGTATGTTGTCGGTTTGCCATAAAAACGACGAAGATTGCATGAGAGAAATCGTAAGTCCCATCATTATCGCATAGCCGAGCGAACTCTTCCAATTTTCCGCGATTTGCAGCCGCCTCGATGCTCGCGAAAGTTACGGAAACGTCAGCTGTCCAGTAGTGAGATTTCCGTGGAAGAACGACTAGAGCGAATACGAGCTCAGATGAATGCGTTAAACAATTTTTCGAGCGATCTTTCCCTTGATGAGATGATGTTCGAAGACAATGAAGTCAGAAGCAGTGAAACTATGGTATCTCGTCCACTGCTGATTAACGATGAGGACGAGTTTGAGCAACAAGGTTAGCTTGAGGATTTTCAGCTGATCTTCGTATTGAGCTGTCCGGTAATCTTTTCCGATTTTAACACAACCCCAATACAACAAAATTGGAGAATTCCAATATGTCGCAAAAAGAAAGTTTTTATCACCAAAATCATTATAATTTCCAGCTGATTATCAAAAAATTTTATATGTATAGAGTTAATGAAAATGGACTTATTTTCTCTGGTTCCAACAATTTTATGGCGAAAATCAGCTGTGACCAGTTGGGCTTGTTCTATTTTTCTTGATATAAATGTCTATAGCTCAAACCTTGAATCTTGCGTGATTTTGTAAAAAGTAAAATTCTAATCTCTACTGCATCACATCGAACTTTGGCAAACTGCATGATCACTGCATGATTTTTGTTTGAATCTTTTTCGAAACCAATTTCGAGCTGGTTTGTTGTTGATTTTCAAAAAGTGGTTGAAATATGTGATACTTTCGGTGTTGAAAAAATTTTGTCTCTTATTTAAAGCAGAAAATTTCGAACTTTAATTTTGCCTGAAGTTCGCATTTTATCCTCTTATCTTTAATATTCAACTCCTCTCTCAGGTTTTTTGAGACTCACCATTATAAGAAAAAAATGTTCTTCATTGTCTTTTGAACTCCTAGAAGACAAGATGACATGCAGACAGAAATTTGATACATTTTGATTTTGACATGCCACTACTTGAATAAAAAAGACGACGTTCAACTGTTCACAAATCACAGGAGCAATCTACTTTTTCAAAAAAAAAATTTCTTGCAGGATTTTCACCACAGTCGTGTTTGCCGTCCAATTATGTTCACTGGATCTATGCATTGCTCATTACTAATGTACTTTCTATACTTGTGGCTGTATTGGCATGTAGTAATCTCTTGAAAAAACATTTTGCCATAGATATTGTCACTATAAGGCACAAATATCGATGCGGATTATAATAGTACCATGTAATTCCTTATCTTCCTTTTTCTTTCTCACTTTCCTTCGTCTTTATACGAAAAGTGCATTGTTTTCATTTCCTCTATCCATTGCTTCTCCGTGACAGCTCTATCTCCCTCCGCCTCGCGTATTTTCACATTCATCAGAGTTGACGTCTAACATGCGGGACCACACGCACACATACACACACATTTTCAATTACGCCACGCTTCTCACAAAGACTGATGAGTCCACATTCTTCCAGAAAAACGCCAAAGCCTCGTTCTTTAATTGGAAATGCCTAGCATCAGTCTCAAAATAGGCGAAAGAAAGAGATTTATAGGAAACGAAATAACTATTGAGCTTTAAGCACCAACGGGAGATTAATTTAGTTCAAAGTTTTATGTCCTTGCACTTCTTGCCTTAATTTCTTGATATTAATATTTATTGTTATGTTTTATTGTAGAAAATGCAATAAAAATTGTTATTGAGCTGTTGGTTGCAGGAAGAATTGCTTGTTATATGAGGTTACTTCCCATCCGACTTTATTGGGCTCCGGCCTCAGGAAACACTTAGCAGATCACATGCATTTAGCCAGCATATTGCCGGCATGTGAATGACGGACGTTGTCTCGTAGAATGCGTATTGTCGACAATAACAACATCGTCGAGGTCTTCATAATTAGTAATCAGATCCCTAAAAGACTTCATGGAAAATATGAACAAAAAACTGTAAAGGGTGATGCATGTTGGAAGGGGAAAGGATGAAAGATGTTGAAGTGTTGGTGATGCATTTCTGCACATTTTCATGCGTTTATACTTATTCGCATTCATTTGAAACCGCACCGCAACCGCTTGCAGCTCTGCGCTGCAACTTAACGGGAAATCTGTGCCATGGATATGTCATTAAGCAACCAGTTTTCAAGCGAAATTGCTTTATAAGATTTATGTAGTAACAATATGTGTTCATGAAACTGCATTTTGAAAAGTTTGTCAGTGTCCAGTTGATCATGTTAATGGGCGTGACCAAGCCTTATGATTGGTTTTGGCGGCCACTAGACTGTGGAAAATTGGGAAGTCAAAATTTTAAATGTAAATAATTGTAGAATGATAGATTCATGTTTATGATACCCAACGATGAAGATGTTTCCGGCAAAAAGTCTCTTAGAAGGCAAGGAAATGTTCGAAGTTCCAAAAAGCTTTGTCGGAGCAAATTTCAAGATTGTCATTTTCCAAAAAAATATCATTGCTAGGAGCAGTAGTATTCTCATGCTACAACAAGTTTTAAACGCTTTTCAAACCATGCTCATCATTCTAGAACCTTTGAGATTTTATTTTTTCCAATGAAATTATGGAAAAAATGGTTACAAATGGGTGCGAGTTGTTTTCAAGATCTACCAAATGACATTTCTCGCCCCTTTGTCATTTACTGGCAGAGAAAACATCCGTATGGCTTCTCTCCGAAGTGTTCCTGAGGAAAAAACATTTCAAACTGGAAGAAAGAAACTAGCACAATGCCTGCTGCTTCCAGAGTTTTGTTCTGACTACAGAACCTAAAAAGCTAACATTGTTTATTTGGGACACTTTCTGAAGAAAGCACTTTCTCTCTCACCAAGAAGAGCTGAAGATTTTCCTCCCAGAATTTCAAGAAAAAGAAATTCGCAATGCGCTAAAAAACTCAGTAGAAATTCTATTTCGCTATTCCCGATAGAATTAGAGACCAGATACCATTTCACATATTCGTGTGCAATCTACCAATAAATTCTGCAAAAAGCGCAAATTGCATTCGAGCAGAAGCCGGGGAATGCAATTAGAGAGCGAAGTCGTCGGGGGCTCTGCAGAACGCCAAGTTCTCGTCAACAACTAATTTTGCCGAGCCCCGTTGGAGTTACTTCTCATCAATGCTCTATTCGTTCACTTACCAGCAAAAAACAAATGCATTTTGAATTTTCTAAGAGGAGCGGTAGAAATGGACCAAAAATTATTGAGAAAAAACAACTTGAGGGGACAAAGAATAATGTAAGCAATAGTAATTTGCTGTTTTCTAATTATTCAATGGTTTTTAGAATAATTTCAAGAACAGTAGATCACTTACTAATTTATTTATTTATTCATTCATTCATTCATTCATTCAGTTCATCCATTCATTCATTCGTTCTTCGTCCATGTGCTCATCAAATCACTTTGTTCACCATTTTCAAAATTATTTTTTCAAAAATTTGAAATTCTATTCCTCATAACTTCTTCAAATCATTCTACAAAACAAAAGGTTGATGAATAGGTGAAATTTCATATTGTGGAAAACTCTGGAAAATTTTTCTTACGTTTACTCTATTATTAACTTCAACCTCTTAAGAAGTCTCTCATTCATTTTCGTCTCGTGACTACTTTGTTTTAGTCGCAACTTGCCCACCTAAAATATGCCTTCATTGCACTTTATCACTCAGATTCACTTCAGCATTCACATAACAAATTAGTTATCTAACAAACATTAGAATAAGACTGATCACGTTCTTTTTTTTTCATTCTTTTCTTTACGCTCATTCTTCATTCACGAATTCTTTCATCAGACATTCATGCAAATCTTTCGTTCATTCTTCATTTCAGAATCATGTTCGTTTCACGCGATGCATTAATCTAGTCTAAGTGAAAAAAAAGAATTATTAATCATTCACCCCTTCTATTCATTTCAATTTTCATTGAATTTTTTAGCTTGATAATTATTGTTTGAATCTTTGATCAGCACTTTTCTCGATTAGTATTATTTACTAGTTCACATTCAAGTCTGCATCCATTTTCTGTCACCAGACTGCATATCTGAAAACCTATTTTTCAATTTACTGATCCATTTGATAGCTCAAACGCTAAATTCCAGAGCAAAGCGGAATTTTTTGTTCAAAATCTTGAACAAACTCTCCATTTCGATTTCCAACCTATTATTATATTTTTTTCAATCCTCGAACCACCTTACCAAAACTTTGCATTAATATGGCCAGCCTTGTGAAGCAATTCAATTTTGTCCATCAGTTCGTGAAATCTACGTGAAAAACCAGGAACTCGTCTGGCTACTCGTCAGCTCTGGCCATAATCAACTAAACTTCTCCAGAAAATCGTTGAAATCCCTCATTTCTTCTTCTTTCGGCAAGTTCTCAAGCAGCTAAGCTGAATTTGCTGTCTTGGATGCTAGAACGATGAGAAAAGACGGAAAATGAGAAAATTTTTGCGAATGGTCGGATTTATTCTGCAAAAGCTGCAAACGATATCGAGGGGGGGGGGACGAAAAAGTTCATTTGTGAGAATCTGGAACACTTAACTTCAGCATAAGCCTTTCTAGAGCGACTTAATTGAAACCAAAGCCCATAGCTCTTTCTCGAAAATTCTAGGAAGAAATTCCCAGACTTCCCGCAAAAGCTCATTTACCACCGAAAGCAAAAGCAATAACTTAAACAACAGCCTCATCCCCCGTTCTTTCCCCCCCCCCCTCCTCCTAAATTTCACTCTGGGCTACTAGTATATAGTGCTAGGCAACATAAATTGCATATGGACAGAATCTCTCCGAGGGCTTGGGGGGGGGGGAGGGGGGAGAGGCATGGCATTGGTCGATTTGACAATTTATGGAGGGCGAGTTGAGGGGGGTGCTTGGGGCATGATCGACGTCCCCGGGGAGCACCGGACGTCTTTGTCGACTCTCGGACTGGTAAACAATCGAAGCACTCAACCTTATCGAGGCTGTTTCGAGTGAATTCTTCGAGAAATAAATGCTTTGGGAAGGGCAATGGGAAAAGTTAGAATTGAGCCTTCTAAGTTCTCAAAAACAAGGTTTTGGCTAACCACACCCCCTTTGACGACTACGCCTCCTTGGCAACCCCCCTCCCCCCTCCGTCCTTTCCAGAACCCTTTTACATGAGAAAGAGTGCGACTTATCAGAGAAGGTAGCCGCACTCCCGCCAGGTCAACTCCTCCCGCTAGCTCAACTCCTCCCGCTGTGGTCAACTCCGCCCACCTCGTTGACAATTCCGCCGCCTTATTGATAACTAGCTGGCTTTCCCGGCTCCGCCCGGCCCTGTCAATAATATATTTGTAGTCAGCATGCTCGATTACCCCCCCCCCCTTGTGCCAACTCCCAGCCCCGTAGCTCAAATTTTCAAAAAATCGATAAAATCGATATTGATTGATAAAGAAAAGTAGCCTATGACATCCGCCCTGCCCCGAAGTGTATGTGTGCAAAGTTTGGTCCCGATCGGTTCAGAAATAAAATTTTCTATTCGGAACATACGTACACACATACATACAGACAGACAGACAGACAGACAGACAGACAAGCAGACATTCAGCTTTATATATAAGATGCTTGAAAGTTACTTTGTCGAGTCGTTGCGACTTTGCTAGCGATCACTACCGTACTTTTGCTGCACTTTCCCTAACCAGTTCTAGGTTTCTTACTCCCAAATACTTTCGAAATCTCCAGAAATATGAAAAGTGCAAGGAAAATCTTTCTTCTTCTCTGGTTTACCACGTCATAGGAAATTCTCTCAGCCTACGAATTTTTCGCCTCAGCTCACATTCAGCTTTCTCCCAGACCCCATGATTATCCGAGCAGTTTTCGCAAGAAATCGCTTCCTAAGCGGATAAGCATTTAGTAAGTGGTTTAGTGGTTACTGAAGCATACACCATGCAAAGTAGAAAAGAAAAAACAACTGAAAAAGTTGAGGTAAAGGGAAGTGAAGCAGAAACGCTGAGCCGATAAAGAAATTTTGCTAAAAATCGTTACAAATTGTGCTGCAAGGACAACAAAAAAAACGGCATCATTTTCAAGTAATCGTTGGGTTTCTGGATGAAAAAGAGAATATTGAACGATGGATTTGATAGATAGGTACCATTTATCGTTCAAACTGATTATTTGAATAGCTGTCTTACTGTTAGATTACGGTAAATACACCTGCCCGCAAACGATTACTACAGTGAAAGATATCATACTTTGCCACTTTGTAAATAATTTCAGGTTTCATATTCTGGTGTAAAAATTCAGAATATGTAGTAGGATCTTCACAAGTTTGCTATGCTGATAAAGAATAGATAGTTCAAAGTTATCTCTCCAAAAATCATAGCAAATAGAATTTTGAAAGCTGGTTTTTGATCAAAAAGACTGTACATACCTTTCGGAACGACATTTTCAATCTAAATTCTCTCGCCCCTTTCAGATAGCTTAACCCCCCCCCCCCCTCTCGAAAAGTTTTTACGACTTTCCCCAAATCTAGTTTGAAGTACGTTTACCTACCACCTACAAAATATGACTTGGTAATAACGAGGTGATTGCCCTCTCATCTACATAAAATAATAATCGTGTTACTTCGTTGAGGAATGCGTGTGTAAGTCCAAAAGTATTTCATACATAATTCCACTTACTGCAGAATCATGAATTTTCTCATATGTTTCCGCAAGGTTGTTTTGGAAAGGTGTACTATAGTGATGAATTATGATCAGACTAGCT